TCTCAGATCCCTTCACCAAGTTTGGAGGAAATCGATTCAGTAGTTTTTGTGAAATCCTGCCAACAGAAAAAACCCAACAGACACGCAAACCAGCAAACATGCAAATAAACTAAGAGCTGAGATAGTAAATGAATTTAGGCCGATATGAGATGATCTCTACAGGGCCTTGCATTGGTTGGTTTTTAGGGTTTTAGTGAAACAATTCAAATCAACTGTGCAGAATGAGAGAGAAACCAAAACTGAGTTAAGAAATATGTGAAGATGCTACTGGATCAAGTGAATCCTAAAATCACAGAAAATGATGAAAGCCATCATTCACCCAGACGTATCGAAGGTAAAGGCTAAAAAAAAAAATGGGGCGGTTGAACCAGAGTCTCTGAACACTGTTGCAACACGAGCAGGAATTCCATCTCCCTCTCCCACATTGTGTTTTGTTGTTGATATTGTGAGGTGGAAACTTTGAGGGGGGACAAAGCGGGCCCATCTCTCCCAGAGCTGTGACCTTGGGTCCCTGACAGATACAAAAGCGTCCGTGCAGGGCAGCATTCCTCAGAGCAGGTAAACAGAGCCTCCTCTAATCCCTCAGGGTCCCCTCAGTCTGCTGCAGCTCAACAACGGCTTTTACAAATGTTGACATTTGCAAACATGAACGGTCTGTGGCATTCTGGAAAACAAGAACTCCCCCAACGTTTCTAAGAGAGTTCTGCGAGCGGCAGCGTTTGGTTCTTTCCAGGTAACATTGACTCGTCTGTGGCGGCGACCAGCAGAGTTCAAGAACGGAACTGGTTAAGTTAGAGGGAAAGAAAACCCTCGAGGATCTGACACTTTACGAGGAGTCAACCATTTACAACTGTTTCCTCCATAACGATTAACTGAAACAGAGAACCGAACTATTTAACTAACAACGTGTAGATTTCTCAGATGAATTCTTGATGGACAAGATTGATGAGAGAGATCTGGAGACATATTGTGAACATTAATAAACATTTTTCACTGAAATAAAGAGGAAAAAAACAGGGTTTAAAACGTTTAAAACCCTCGAACACAACCAGTTAGGAGAGATCTCACTCTGAAAACATCTCTACATTACTGCTTGGACCAATATCACCACAATAACCCAACACTGAGCCGTTCGGCCACTTGTATTTATGTCTCAGACATCCAACCCAATGTGGAGAATCACACAAGTAACTAAATTAGTATTATGAGAATATTAGTAAGTCTATAAATCTGCATACGAGTCATTTTCCCACACTGAGTCGGGACACTTTGAAGAGGTCATCACATGATCAACAGGACTGGAGAAGAGGAAAACACGGTTCTGTTCCTGAAGTCAAGATTGTTCTTCCCTTGATTTAGATAATTATTGATTATTTTTAATTTGTTGAACTACCCACAGCTCAATAAACAAATTCATTTTTTATAAAACACCTTTCAGGGTGAATGTTCTGTGTCTATAAAGCTCTTTTCTAGTTTAGTGACAACTCAAAGGGCTTTATAGTACAGTCACATTCACCCATTCACACATTCACACAGTGCATCTATCTGCAGCACTTTCTCTGCGAGAAGGGGCAATTTGGGGTTCAGCGTCTTACCCAAGGACACTTCGGCATGCGGACCAGGGAAGACTGGGATCGAACTGCCAACCTTCTGGTTAGAGGACGACCGCTCTACCCTGAGCCACAGCCGCCCCAAAGGTGCTGCCTGTCAGCAGGATTAACTTGGGTAATCTCTCTCCCAACTCATTTTCCTTTAAGTTAGTTGAGAAATTAAAAATAAAACAAACCAGAAACTAAGTTAAAGTTATTAGTTCTTCATTTTTAGGTTCATCAACCAAAGAAGAAGCTACTTTAGATTCAAGTCGTAAAAGAATTGACATCTAATTTAACTTCCTTGTTGGTTTTTTTCTAAGATTTAATTTATGGAAAATTTTAAAAAACGAAATGAAAACAGAACCAGTGCCATCGTGTCAAAAAGGTTTATTCTCTTCAGTTTCTGGTATCAGTTTCATCACATTTCATCTTTGTAAAAATACTGAATTTCCTTTTTTAAAAAAATCATGTTTCTTCTTTACAAAAGCAGTTTACAGTATCAGAAGAACTTTCACAGTGATTTCAGAGTACTCCAACATAAACACGGGGACTTCATATGATATGACATCAGTGCGAAGGGTGGAAACATACAACATGATGCTTTGTCAACAGTTTCAGTCAAATCTCAAAAGGTTGGACTTTGAGTCATCGCTTGGTGCATCGTATTGTACAAGATGACGAAACCACTGCAGTGTCTTTTTTTTTTTTTCGAAAAATCCACCCAAACAATGAAAGTCAAGAAGCTGGGATGACCTTTGGTGCAGTGAAAGAGTTACAGGCTCTGCTCTGTGAACCCGGCTGCCGTCACAGAGATGGAAACCTCCAGCCACTGGGCTGACAAACAATGGTAATCCAGGTGGGCCCCCCCTGCTTCATACAGGAGTCTTAAGTTCATTCAACAACGGCAGCATCGGGGAAAAGATGAGCAACTGTAAAAAAAAAATCAATATGCAAGCTGGAAGAAGAGCGATGACAGGAGGAGCAGTGATGGGAGGAAATGTGGGTGAGCACCATTACTCTGACTGTAGCAACGTCTATTCAGTTAGGGGAGGAAGTTTGAGTAAAGTCTTCATCCCAAGGCCGTGGGGCTGCGTCGCTGCGAAAGAATCCAGAGCGTGAAGTGAAGGAGTTAAAGCAGGAAAAGTGACAAAGCAGATTCATGGATAGAGCTGGTGAATGTCTCCTCCCGCCGATATGCTGCTGAAAAATGAACGCATTAATCCGGAGGTCATCGTTTGGAGGATGCGGTCACGTCAAGAGTGTTTTCATCAAACAAATATTGTGCGGCTTCAACCTCAAAACAGCCCAAAGTGCCGCACCACAAGTGTTTGGACCATACCAGTGGTTTGACATGATTCTGCTCAACCTGTCTATAGCTCTCATGTAATCAACTCTCCAGTACTGATGGGGGGGAAAAAACCACGAGAGGTGATTTGACAACATAACGCCCAAATCTGCTAGTAGAAAAAATATTCTATTGACTATTGGTATTTTTAAAATAAAGACAAACATAGAGATGACGTCCTGCAACTCCTTTAGCACAAGGTAAACTGATCAGAGCCCTTCAACCGTTTTGGTGACGTGTTGTATTAAATAAATATATTTTATACCAGCAGGATAGATGCGTCTTCATTACCCGGGACATGTCATAAAGGATTTGCTAAAGATGAGTACATAAGAGCTAGAGCCAGTTTAAAAACAGTAACAAACTCAAATTTCACATATTAAAGATTTGTATAAGAAATGCAACGAGGAGCAAATTATGTTGAAGAACAATATCATAAAAACTTTATAAAGAAAAGAAAGAAAATGTGCAATTTGTTGAATAGTCAAGTAGCAAATTATGAATTATTCACAACCTACTTTGTTGATTTGATAAAACATGCCAAGCCCTTGGTATGGCCCCTTAACTCCCACTACACTGACGACTGCTTGTGACCTGAAGAAAAACAGAATGAAATGATTATTGATTCAGCCACAGTCTGCAAAATCACCTGGAAGAAAAAAGCCTGTTAGGTTAGTTGTACTTTGTGCAGATCCTAATCCAGCTACTGTTACACATTTGACCCAGAGCCAGTATAAACATTCTGATACTCATCATCAGCAGCAGTAATAATAAAGGTTTCTTATGGAAGCACATTTAAGCCCCGAACAAATCTAAAAGACGAGTTTTTCTGAATGAAATATCTAAATAATCTTCAATAACAATGAGGTGACTGGAAAAACACCCGGATATTTAAACAACCTCCTTAAAATCAGTGAGCACAGGAAACTGCATCACATCTTAAAACTAAAGTTAGAAATTTGTCATGAATCTTAAAGTTAAGATACAAATAGATCCAATATGAATCTGTTCTGCATTACAAGACACTGTGTCTCATAAAATATCACTATGACTGGCATTGCCAATATGTTTTTTCAAATCCACAGGATTTACCACAACACTAAAAAGAAATCAAGCATAACCCACAACATTAAAGACAGTAAAACACACTGCAGGAGAACAAAAACTTCTACATCAGTTCAACTCAAAACAAAAGGATTCAAACATAAAGAAGTCAGTTTAGAACAAAAGCACAACATTCAAAAGACTTGAAAACCACCCGACCATCAGCTTTACAAGCCGTAAGAAGAAGTTTTAGGGACTTCGACACTTTTAAGACACCCTGTTCGTCCAAATACCCTCTGTGCTTTAGAGCGTTTTGAGAATCTAGTGACCCTCACTGGCAAGAATAACTTAGTGCAGCTTATTTACAACCTGAATAGATTCTTTAAATTATTTCAAGTACTAACTAATTTAAGGGAAATACCACCTTATGTATGAATTTTAATTCACATGTGCAGGAAAGACAAAAGGCAAATAAAACGACTTGTAAACCATCAACTTTTGAATCTCAAAAATTGAATCTGTGATGTCACCCAGATGCGCAGCCAGGATTTAGGGAGAGTAAATTAAAAACGTCAACGTGTTAACCATCCAACCAATTTTTCTTTCTCATTAACCCAGAAATATATTCCAGTAATTCTGGACTTATTCCTGTGTCGTTCTCATGTCCAGGAGCTGCACATCAGTCTGACAACAAGGTTAAATTTGCAGGGCAAAATCTCCCATTAATGATGATAAAGCAGACTTCAGTGGCATTCCCCTTAATCTTTATGAGGTAGCATTTCTTACCAGGCTATTTCTTAAAAACTTAAAAAACTATGAAGAATAAGTCCACAAAATATTTGTGCATTGATCCCAAAGTAGTAAATAGTTTTAAAAGTATGTATTGTATGTGTTGTAAGGTGAATACCTAAGATCTAATAGAAAAGGAAGAATATAAATGATTAAAATGTGGCACAAATAAGAGAGATACTTCATGGTAAAGGCATCAGACACATGGACATCACACACAATCACACGTCTTTGGGCTAAAGTTTGACCGGCTTTACATACCTGCATGTTCACGGTATATTGGCCATATTTTTATTTTCTTGTTTTCCCTATAATTTGATTTCAAATGTCTTATAAACAGAAATGTGGTCCAGTCATTTTGGCTCTAAATTCAAAAAAACAAAACACTTGTAAAATGATCTATGCCTGGACACATTAGCATATCCTTACATATAAAAAGGTTTAACTCGTTACAATATTAGTGAAGGAGAAATTAAAAAAAAAAAAAAAATGAACAGGATAAATATTGAGTTCAAGTTCTGATCTACTTATGTACATGATCACTATGAAGATAATGGTTGCCCCCTCACCTTCCTGCGCCACATCCCAAATGACCTAGGTACAGAATTCACTTTCTGGGCTTTAGTTATTTGTAAACCGGGTATGAAGAATATTTGAATATAAAGGACGATCTGTTCCAGTTTGACCAATCTTAAACACGAAATGTTGTGACTTAAAGAAAAATTGCCTGTTAATTACACGTTCTCACACACAAAAAAAAATTAGCCTTTAAAGATAATCATCATTATCGTTATTATTTAGAGCCCAGGACCTACAGTGAATGTCTATAACATGTTGTGTAGTATTTTTGGGTGAATTTATTTTATTTTCTCTCAAACACCTATATGACTATTTCAGTGTTTATGTTCAAAGTGCTATTCCAGGTTCATTATCCGGCTCATCGGTAAAACAACAAATTATCGCCTGACACAGATTCAGAGGAGTTGCTTCTGAAAGGAGAAAGCCAAATATATATCCAAGCTGAAATAATGTAAAGAAACGTGTGTATATCCTGAAAAGAACTGCGAGCAATTCTCTCTGATCGACCAAATAACACAAATATTTAATTCACCAACAATATATTTTAACTTGTCATTATAAAAAAACCTAAAAGAAACTTCCAAACACTCCCTCAACGCACACACAGCAAAAATTACAAAGCTCACTTCAACTCGAAAATCCAGACACACAACTAAAATAAGCATTTTACAAAATGCGTCCAGGTGTTAACAGTTAAAAGACCTCATAACAGAGAGAAACGCCAAATGACTAAATGTACCAACTTAAACGAGAGATATGATATGAACAATTTGTCCTAGAAGCTCCCTTGAAACTTAACACGCCGCAAAAAATACAGTCACAACCCCCAGGACTGCTGGGAATTCAAAAAAAAAAAAAAGAATGACATTTTGTGCTAATTTAGCTTCTGACACGGCTGCATGTCAACCCAGGCCACCACGGTGCCCGTATGCAAGTTCTCCACTAGGTAGCGCCATTCACCCCAAAACTGCTCTAAGACTCATCTCTACTTGAAGGCGGTTGGGTTAAAAAAAAAAAAAGTCCCAATAGTGATGAAATACTGCCATCTACAGGAGAAGAGGAACACTGCAACGTGAAAAGGCTGGGCACAATCTACCATAACTATCCGCCGCCGCTGCCGCCACCGCATGTGAACACAGAGCTACAAATAAAAGATGGAATTTTCACATTAGTGTTTCGAGTGTCGTTCTGCACTTTGCTTTCGTGAATATCACTGAGGAGGGGCGCAACCATTATCATGATTTGTTCTACTAAGTGTCCGTGTAAGATGCACAAAAAGATTCTTCACAAACTACATCAATGTACGATTTACTGTCCAGTGTCTCTCCAGTGCCACATTACAACAACGGACAATCGGTGGCCGCACAGAGGCGGCCTCGCAGCAAAATGTCTTTATGTTCATTGTCCCAAGTTGTTCAGAGATGAAGGACGAGCGATGCTTCTGTGCAGACGTAGATTGAGAGTGAGGTGAAGAAATACTCCTGTGTCAAGTTGGAGCCGTGCACGACAGGCGCCCACGTCAGCGGAAAGTGACGCCTTTCAACAGGATTCTCTGGCTCTATCGTGCCCCTCATCCATCAATCAGCGACACATCAATGTGGGACAAATCAATCATGTGCCTGTGTGGTAATTGTGATAACGTTTGAACCATCGTCTCGGAGGAAGAGAAACACTACACAGAAGCTACATATCATCATCAAAATGTAAACACCTAGCACAAGGTGTGAGCATTTAACTGAATGTGTGTAAGAGTGATGAAAATAGAAAACATTGATTACCGATGGAAGCTTATTTGAAAACTTTCTGCGTGCTGGGCGCTGGAGAATGTGGCGACTGCTTTCCTCTGCTGGGGCATCATTTTGAACATCTGCAAAAGACAGAAATGGAAAAGCACAAAATGAATAAAACAACATGCTCGTGTCATCCACAAGAGGGAGTGAGGGTGGTGAAGGAAAATTGATAAGCTCATTCGCGCTCACTGAGTACCTAATCACACCGACAGAGGGCGCTGTGGTATCATACTATTACTGCCACTGTGGTGGGTGCAAATAAATGTTTTCCTCACCGGTCACATAGGTTGAAAATGACATGTTAGTACATATGGTTTTAGTAATAACAGCTTTAACTCCACACGACTGCTGACAATATTATATGTTATACAAACTGAAAGACGTGAATTAATTCAAAATGAACGGAGATATAATACGTTTGCACACCAGTAAGTATTAAGTAGTATTAGTATGTAATAATAAAAATCGTCTGGTACAAACCTCTATGGGGCCGATGGATCTGAGAAGGTTCATCAGCTGAGCATCAGTTGTGGATGAGGAGAGTCCCTCTATGGACACAGTGCAGCATTCGCCTTTTCCAACTCTTTGGCTCTGTCTGGTGGGCACCGGACTCCCTCGACCCATCTGACCACCCGCTCTACCTCGGCCCCGGCCCGACACAACGACCTACACCAGCGCCAGGTGGTGAGGAAAAATTGCCGACATGAGATAAAATATATGGGGGAGGGGGAGAGAAGCGGAGAAAACACCGACCACATCTTATCCTGCTTAAACAGGCACGTTGATGTTTTAATCCTGCATTCAACCGTGTGGAGAGGAGCTATTCTACTTCTCAGCACAATAGAAAATTTTAAATTGCTTTGTTTTCCTCTCGCACCTCCCAGACGTGCCACGCTTTCACATGATTGACTTATCATTTTTGTACATTGAACATCAACATCACAACACGATAGATGGCATATCTTCATAAGAGCTTGTGTGTGAGAGGTATGTTTCTTCAGATGCAGAGGAAGAGGAGGGAGAGACCCCGAAAAGAGAGGAGGTAAAGGGAGTGTGTGTGTGTGTGTGTGTGTGTGTGTGTGAGTTGGGGGTGGGGGAACATTAAGGGAGAGGAGCCATGCAAGCGTTATGGTGGCAGCCTTACCCTGTCAGCATCAGTGAGTATGGTAACTGTGACAGCAGCCTGGTGGTGACAGGCGTGCAGAGAGGCCAGGGGACCTTGTGTAGCCCCCCGTGTTACACTGCTTTCAGCTTGTCAATACTGCTGCACCTGGCATACTGTCCTGTCTTATTACCACTACTGCTCGATTGGTATGTCTACTGAATGCCAGGGTAGTGCCAGCGGCTCAGGACAACTTTACAGGAGACACTTTGGCTTCTTTTATATCAGAACTGCCATTACCCCTACTGTCTGCACTGTTAATATATATATTTCAGGTGAAATAGTTACTGATGTCCACAGCACAGAGGGCCGCGAGAGATCCTCTACGACTTACCCTGTTTTGCTGCTGGTTGCCTATGCCCCCTCGGCCAGCCTGCGGTGTTCCGCCTGGTCCCTGTTGCTGCTGTCCTGCCATGGTAACCTTCCTTTGGACGCCCTGGTTGGTAGCAGTTGCCGGCCAGTTGCCTTGTTGCTGCGCTTGGCCGCCGGTGGCCTCAGGGCCCTTTTCATTCTGGGTGATGATGAAGGACAACACTAATTTAAAAACTAATAGCATTCACAGCCTCTATCTTAGTTCGCAGGCTTCACAAGCTCATGCTAACACAAAGCTTTTACAGAAAATATCACATTTATGGACAAAATGCAGAAATGCACAACTATTTCTTCCAAGTGAAAATGTGCCATCATTGGAGCTGGATCCCTATCACACACAGGCTGTGGGGAATAAAGATCAGCCCAACAAGGTGATGTTCTCATTATCAAATAAAGTCACAGCTCGACTCTGTTGACATGCGGGGAGGAATTGAAGGTCGTCTCTTTCCTGACTCTGCAGAGAGATGTGACAGATCAATACAGGAGAAGAAAAGAGACGATATCTCTGACCTGTCCCCAGTTGAGAGTAAATGGATTAATCCCTCCTATAGAAATCACAGCTCCTGATTGCACCCATCAAATGCTAAGCTGCATTACACTGGAACGACAGCAGCTCGATGTGTACCCCATCCCCCTAACACTCCCCTTCTCCCCAGCTTTTGTGTCTTGCGCTGCTTTGTATTATCCCTGATGAAAATATAATTTGCCTCTTATCTGTGTGCCTAAGCCATACAAATCCAAATCCTCAAAAGTGGCAACTTTCTTACACAGGTATTATGTTGCTCTCCCTTCAACCAAGAAAGATTAATTACAAAGCTCTTGGATTGGCATTCTTTTGTTGCCTTGCACCTGAGAGATGGGTTGATGGGAAGAAGCAAGTGAGGGATGACACAGGAAGAGAGCTAGCAAGACAGAATAAAAAGAGAGAGGAGATAACATTGTAGAGCTCCTGTTGATGACAGCGGAACAATGTGGGAGAGGGAGCATCTAGAGAATCTTGTTTTCACTGTGGCTACAGGCCTTAGCTGTGTCCTTCTGTTTCCATCTCTCTTTCACCACCTCACATCCCGCTACCCTTTTTTCTCCATGATGCCGTACATCAGATAGCTCTGCGCAGGTTTCCATTAAGTCACTGACACCCAGTTATCTTCATCTGCAGCCAGCCTGCGATTTTTGGCTCTGCCGCTTGATCCTCTGGGATGGAGTCAGAGAGCGGCTTATTTCAAATACTATCACATCCCACCAACGTGTCTCATCAGTGACAAGTATGAATGTTTAACATGCATGCTTTTGTGGTTTTTCAATAAAGATTAATGGGTAATTAAGGCCATGGCAGTATCAAGTGAGTATGAAATAGCAGGCAGTGTCAATTCTGGACTATTGGTGTTACTGTCATTCTTGTTTTATCCTCCATCTTTTTATTAAAAGAACACTCTTGTGCCCTTAAAAAGAGGATACCAACCTTTAAGAGCAGCGATGAGGTGTCCCCATCTCTACAGATAAATGTCACACCACTCTCTTTAATGTCTACAGCCCTTCTGTGTTCCCAGGGTAAAATGTGTGTTAAGGCACTGTGGCTTAAATACCAGGTACCAAAGCTTTAGAGAAGAAACTCTTAACAGATCAATTTTGTCAAAATGACACAGACATCATCTTGTCATTCCCATAGGTTAGATAGCGTTTAGATTACAAAATAGACAGTGTGAGGGCAATCAGTGGCATTTAAAACGGTTACATTTCAAAACTATGTACCTTCTCAGGCGAGTAAGTCAGTGGTAGAAGATAAAATAAATGTCGGACCGGAACACAAGGTTGAAAGATAAAAAAGAAATGATATGCTCACCGCTCCTGAAAGTTTGACGACTCTGACTTTTTGTGGCACCTGCTGACCTTCGTCGACAGAATTCTTTGCTCGCTGCATCACAGTTCGTTTAGCTCCAGGTTTTGGTCCTTGACTCTGAGCCAGTTCCTGAGCCTGGCCAGAACCCACTACAGGAATTACAGGTATGTTCTTCTGGATCTGACCGCCAGGTCTGTTTACGTTCTGCGGACCACTGATCCTTCGTTGTTGCAGCTGCAGCTGATTTTGTGGGGGCTGGTTCCACTGCTGGTTGGGAACAGGCCCGGGTATCTGTGGCTGCGGGGTGCTGCCTTTCACCATCTGCAGCCTTGTCTTTACATTGGGACGTGGTGTGAGGGGCTGAGCCGCACCATTAGGAGGGATGGGATTGCCTTGATTAGGATTATTTAATGACTGATTTAATGGTTGTGGGGTTCTCTGAGGAAACTGTCTTTGTGGTTGTGGCTGTAACTGTTGCAGCTGTGTCTGTTCTGGCTGTTGTTGCAGCTGTGGTGGTGGATGTTGCCGTTGTTGTACAGGGTGTGGTTTCTGCTGATTTTGCTGTGCAGGTTGAATCAGTGTAGGAGTGGGTCCCTCAACTTGAGTGTTTGTCTGGGAATTAAGTCTTTCCAGCAGCTCCTTCTTTCTGACACCAGCTTGCATTTGCCTTCGCATCTCCTTCCTCCTCAGGATCTCCTCTCTCAGACGCTTCTGCTCCTCAATCTTCAGGCGATACTGTCGTGTCTCCTCATCCTCATTGGGGTCCTGTGGTGCAAAACACAAGCCGACAATATGACTGCCTGTCTCCACTTTTGTGAAGGGGCACCCCTGAGCCACTGTGTCCTATTTGAACAACATTACTTGGCCTAACACTCAGATGTAATTAACGTCAAGACCCAAGAGAAAAATGCAATAGTATCGATCTGCTTTTTCCAATGAAGGGAGACTATTGTTATTAACAACCTTATGATTGGGTTTTAATAAATGGGAGTCCTTCTCAGCACACTGATAAGCTGAGCTCACAACTTAAGCAGTCCACTGAATTAAGCAGGGGAAAATACTAAAAATGACTTGGTTTATAGAACAATTTCAGGGGAACATTTCAGACAACATAAGCAATTATATGAAATAATATTATGCAAAAAAGCTCAACATTTTATCATTCGTTTGTTTTTCTCCTCGTGTGTTAAAAAGCTGACCTGTGGTGGCGCGCTAGGGATTTCCTTGCGAACAACTGTCCTGCCTCCTCCCCCAGGCTGAAATTCAGTCCTGGCAGCAACTTGGCCTCTTCCTCTGCCACGGTCAGACACTGGCTGAGTGTTCTGCCCAGGACGCACCCCCTGTGTTGCCTTGGCAACAGGCCTGACGTTGGCGGCGGGGGAGGAGGCGATGCGGGCACTGTTCATGTTTGTGTTGCCAGGTGCTACAGGGAGCTCCCGTAGGTTGCTGTTGCGCTGCTGCATTTGTTTGGAGACAGGTGCGTTCTGAAGAAAGGGCAAAATGTAAACATTCAGGTCAATATACATCTAGTTCTTTGCATTTTCACTGTGAAATTTTGATTTTACTGAGGAAAGATGCTGACAGAGCAATAAAGAAATAATTTGAATGACATCGTGATGAAGTGTGGACCCCTGCTTTTCATCGGTTTGAGCATAAAATGGATAATATGCAAATATTGTAATAAACTAATATGTTAATCTCTCACCATCCTCTGCCTGTTGGACATGTTGCGCTGTTGGGGGTTCAGAGGACGGGGAGTCATCTGCCTGGGGCTTCCGTGTGCCTGCTGTTGATGGAAGGGATTCTGGGCATGGTGCATCATGGGGCGAGGTTCACCGAGATTTAGCTGTTGCTGCTGCTGATGATGATGATGATGGGGTAACTCCTGCCTATGATGTTGTTGCTGCTGCTGCTGGTGGTGGTGCATGGGCTGATGGGGTGGCAGTGAGTCGTGGTGTGGGAGCTGGGAGACAGGAGGAGCGTGCATTAAGCCCTGAAATTACAGAAAAGACGATATAACATGAGTAACAGGCAGAAATTAATATCCCACATAATTCTGATTCTATATAAATAAAAAAAAAATGACAATGCCTCCATTCATATATATTCATATGCTATGGCCTTTGCAGTCCACCACCACCATTAACACACCAAATGAGAATACAATTTGAAAGACTGGTGATCAAATCCCTCCAGTTTCCAGAGACTTGGAGAATCAATACCTGTCACATTGAAGCCGAGTCCCTTTGATTTGCCTGTTTCCCCCTTTTCCCATTTTTTCCCTAACAACAGTAACACTATCAGTTCTAACTGCCACTTTTTTCAATATAATTTCAGGCAAATTCTGCAAATAATTAACCCCGACGGGTACCCACATATATCCACATGGTTTCTACTACAATAGTGATTCGGTCAGTAGAGGGAGCTCGTGTCTATGTCTCGACAAAATGCTGAGATGCCAAACAGACATGACTCTTTTTCTGTAACGCTTCAGTGGCAGTGAATATGATAACTAGTCTGGCTTATTCATGTGTACAGTACTCTAGTCATCGCTGTTGCCAAATCCATTTTAATAATCTAGAGAAAAGCCATACACAAATTCATACATTCATGGCAAAGAAAGCATCTGAATTTCATGCCAGGCTCATTAATAAAAATGGCAAGATTAGATTCTAAAAATAATCATAATACACAAGTCAAATAACCATATTTAGCGAGTAAATTCAAGACACAATTGGAGAAGAAATAGAAAAACAACACCCCAAACAGACACAACTACACTGACATCTATTAGTTATAAAAATCACTTACTCTCAGTCGTACCTGCATTCCAAACTGAACCGGTGGAGGGGGAAAAAGGCTCCCCTGCTGGCCAAACGGCTGACGAGGGCCCATGAAAGGTCTGGGCTGGTTAGGGGGACCACCTTGTTGATTCATGCCGACCATCCCTTGGTGACCTTGATGGGGAGGGTGGTTGGGTCTCGGGGGTTCTCTTGGAAACAGTCCTAGCGGGCCCTGGCCCGGCTGGTTGAAGGCTGGTCCGGGTGGGCCAAAGCCCATGTGGCCCGGTCCGGGCATCTGCTGCTGCTGGTGGAGGTTGTTGCCGCTGTTCATCAGAGGGCTGTGGCCCTGGTGATCAAACATGTGCTGCCCTGGAAACCGTGTTGACTCTGTGCGCTCTGTTCCCACGCAAGAAAGACCAAACAACAACAACACCAAACAGAGATGTCAAGTTTTTTGTACTGGGAGCAAATTTCAAAACATCAGCAACTCCCTCTCCAGATGTATAGTGTTACAGAAAAGAAAAACGAAAAGAGACAACTCTATCAAGGTGAAATGGTAAACAACCAAATGGGTCGTATTTAATTCTGCATCTACACTGTGAAAGAAAAATCTCAGATATATATGTTTAATGCATGTTTCAAGTTTCAGAGGCTCATTCAAATGTATATATATATATACACATGCATTTAACATGAGCACTGCTAATAGAGCAGCACCAGAAAGCTAGCAGCATACCCTGTAGGTATACTGCATAAGCTAATGTCGAATTGGGTTAAACATAATAGTAAGAGAGCTTTGTAATCCTTGTCAAGGGTGGGTGTGAGTCTCACCTGTCATAAAGAGGGGCTCCCTGTCCTGGTTTCTAAAGGGCTCCATGTGATGAGGTGGCCGCTGGGGCTGACCAAAATTACCAGGCATGTGCTGCTGGAAGTCTCCCGGTCCCTGGGAAAACACAAATTTCATGAATTAGAGGCCATACTGGGAACTCAATAATCACAAACAAATTAAACTAATGAAGAATGGGAATTTGCTGTGGAGTATTGCATTGAGCAGGAAGCGCTTATAATTGAAGGGCCGGGGTCATTAAAAAGACAGAATCTTGAGTTGTAAACATCAATATGTATGCCAATATTAAAGAAACCCTTTAGCATGAATTTGTGAGCAAACCTGAATTAATTCTTTGCTTATGAACCTTCTAAAAGACTGTCTCTAACAAGGAAAGGCTATTTCAGGAGGGGATAAGTACCCTCATCTTTGTTTCAACTTCGTTTTCAGTTAGCATGTTCGACAGCTTTCACTGCATACACATTACTCCCCATCTATCTTCCAAGGAAAAGTAGATAACAACCCTTTAATCCCTCCTTGGAATTCAAATCCCCCTCATAACTGTCTCCTTTATTCTTTCAAATATCCATCTCTGTTGAAAAATTAACCTGCTATTCAACACGTGGCACTTCCAAAAATGGGCTGCCTGCCTCCTCCAAGCCTATTGTAAATTACTTAAGATGCTATCAAGGCTTAATCCATCTTTATTCCACTGCTGTGTGGTGGTATTTAGAGAGAAGAGGTGTTTGAAAGCTGGAAGCCACAGTCCCAAAAACTTGCTTAACAGAAAGTTAATCAAAGGGGCTTACAAAGACAGGGGATCACAATGGGGGCCGCAATCACACCGCTCTAAAAGGTCAGACAGGCAGGTTTGCACAATGAGGACTCTGGTGTCCATGTAACGCCTCTAAAATAACACGGCTCATCCCCTCACTTCTAATCCTTGATAAGAAGGCTGCAGGTGATCAACATGTTACTGATGCAGGGAAAGCTCTTCGCAGTGAAGGGATAACCATGGCACATATAATAGAGGGGGCAATTGTCATATATTTAATAAAGAATGGACAACTCTGCTTTGTTTTGGGCTTTTATGTAAACTTCTTACAGCCAATAACAAAAAAGTTATGAAAGCCTTTTCTTTGTCTGCAGTATGTGATAATGGTTCATAAGAATAAGGATCTGTGACTGATCCCATCGACCATAAAGGAAGAGTTTAATTATGAAAATGCAGAATTTTCAAAAAGGTGTTGTATACTAGATATTACAATCCATACTGAAAATATTTCCAAAAAGTGTAATGGGTGGCATCTCTGTTTCATGTTTAAACTGAATGTCCTCATCTGAACGGATTAAATATTATAATATTAATTGGCACTGAGATTAATATTTAAAAACCCAGACTCCGCTAGCAAAAAATTCAATGCATTAATACTAGAGACAATGACCCCCCCTTCCCCTCGCCTGGTCTTTTAACAATTAAATTTGATGGGATGATAATGTATGATAATCATGAGTAATCAGGTGCCCACTGGTAAATGGAATGATGCTGCCTGGTCTGTCACCTGCATTTCAAATTGTGTCCTTGCCAACAGCAGCCTAAATGCAATTGACAGCTGGGGGATCCAACACTATGTTGTTCATCAGCCCAAACCTTTACAACCCCACATTCTACTGTGTGATAAGAGCCAAAACAGACCTCTGCTTCCACGCTATCGATATCTAGCAACATCACAGACCTTGGGGAAGAGGAATTGCCCAATCAGACACAGAAGGATGAAAAAGGGGTAATTTTTTTAATTTATTTTTTTTACAAAGATTGACTCCTATGTGAGAGCCTGGCTCATTTGGCAACGGGTTTGTAAATCCACATGATTGCAATTGGTTGCAGCTATTTTGCTATGGCTAATTTGCATAAATCCATATAAAATGTTCTTTCCAGGAAAATGTCAGTCAGTACCAGTGCCACCTGATGCCTGGGCATCATTAACTAGAAGGACAGAGTAACTTCAGGCACTTTGGCTGACTTGCTGGCAAGCCATTTCCCTCAATACAGTAATTACTTTAAAGGCATTTCTGTCATCTCTCGGATGGGTTCTTTGTGAGTGAAATAAAGGACCTTTTCTTACAAGAAGTCACTGACTTGAGATCCTGTTTCTCTGACATTAAATTCAGACTTCGGAATATATAGTGCAAAAAGGCAAGGGGCTCACAGCACAGCCATATCAAACCACTGCGATGTTTCATTAATTCAAATACCGTCCAAAAAAGGTCTCCATGCCTTCGGGACACAAACTTGTGGAAAGTGAATTTTAACTGGCAATATATCCTGGTTTCACAATTCCATTATGTGCCAAGCTGGGTGTAGTCTGAGCCCCAGCCCATCCATGAAGAGTTGCTAACTAAGTCCCGCCACTGCAGCCTCGACCTCCAAAAGTCTACTTGCCTAAAGCCCCTATCACGCATTTCCAGTTGTGCAGCCAGACTCATATCAGTGTTTACAGATTTGCTTTAACAGTATTTGGCCAGGGCAGGACAGTCTAATTGCCGTAGTGATATTACCCTTACAAAAAAGGGATGCTAACCGTGTGGAGAGGGAGAGAAAGTGAGGCAAGAGGGAGGGAGAGAGGAGCAGCTGCTACTCACAGGGAACCTCTGAGGACCCACAGCAGGTCTGGGCTGGCTCTGAGCAGGAGGCATCAAGGGCACTGCAATGAGAGAGGGAGAGAGCAAGAGAGAGAGGGTTGGAGGGGGAAGGGGGAGATAAATGAAAATGAGGGGCAGTAGGTAGAGAGGGTAAGAGTAGAAAGGGAGGAGAACGTTAGACATCTTCATGCTACATCTTAAATATGGTCTCAGAGCTGCTGCTCGTTTCTTTACACCTTGGGCACAGACCAGAGAGCTCAAAGAAAAAATAAAATACATGAGAATCATTTGCCAAATTCGACAAATAAACATTAATAAAAACATTTGCTGCTTGACAGAATGCAATTCAGAGACTGCAATTTCATATTCAAATGGGTTACTGTTGTTTGTCAGAATCTACAACTGGAAAACCTTCAATTAAATAAATATATAAACAAACAGAGACATACACAAACAGATGCACGTACACACACACTCACTTAATCATAACCAGAGGCAATCCCTGATCTTCCAGAACACGTATGACTCTCAGGAGCAAAACCCACACATGCACACTGGCACGCAATGATATACACACATATGCACACACACTGTTTGCTAACAAAATTTCAATCTTGGCCTGGACAGACAGGCCAGATAAACCCATCCCAGGGAACGAAATGGTGAAGCTGCCAGGAAAAAAATGAGGATAAACCCATTACTGGCTGAGAGAGCTATTCACTTGTCATTCAACCAAACAACAAAATGACATTCTAATCCAGACACTTTTCAGGACAGAGTAAGGATATCTGCCAAAACAGCATCATACACCTCAACTGAGGATTGTGCTGATAAACTAAGGCTGCACAATTTTGGGTGAAATGACTATTATGATTTGTATACTCAGGATAATGAATCTTAGAGAAACAATCTTTTAAATAAAACTATTTATTGCATTTTTATTTGTGACAGGTATTTCATTAACTTTTCACAGCCTGTTCATTATCATGTACTTCACTTAAATATGTATGACCAAAATAATAAACGGGACACCAAAGTGGCATTGATTGTTCATTAGACAGTTGCCTAATAAAAAATTATTATGTATTCTGCAAGGCTCACAATGCTTAAATAAGTATGTCATTTACATTTACTGTTTACATTGTGAGAAGCAGGTACCCTGACTGTGCAAAACTGCTCAAACTGACAAAATGATCGCATCTTTTTTTCCCCATCTTCCTGCAGAAAGTATGTAATGTAGTTATAAGAATAAAAGTGTTGCTCAAGAATCAAAAGAGCAATGATCTCAATACTGAGATCAGAAAATGTAATTGTGATTTAACTGTGCAGCCCCGTCACATCACTCTGTGTCTAAATATTGAATTAGTCCCTATTCAATCAATTATTTTAACATTGTACTTAATCCTCAACTTTGAATCCAAAAAGTTCCACATAAAAGATTTGTCTTTGTGTCTTATATCCCTCTCTGACATTATGCCTTTGTATAGTTCAGGACGTTGTGTAAATTCAGTTTGGTTGGGACAAATTGTGGATGTGATTAAGAGAGTTTGGTTTATTAAATAGAATCACCTTGGTGATACAGAGATAGCAGAATTGTTGATTGAGATTCAAAGATCACAGTTTTAATATCACAGAGTGCTGTGGTGGATCCAGAGAAACACTGCAGTAGAAGTCACTGAAGTTAAATATGAAAATCATTTGAGTGAAAGTTAATTAAGTTACCTTGTACAGAGGATGACGTGGGCCCTCTGAAATGGGGGTTAATGTGGATGTTTTTGGGCTGTGGAGGTTGCTGCTGGTGATGCTGGGGGAAGTTAGGTGGCGGGGAGCTCATCATTCGTGGTGGCGGCTCCATCTGGGGCCTCATCGGTGGGGAGCGGTGAGCCATGTGCAGGGGGATGAGTGGCTGAAGGGGCGGCTGGGACAGTGGGCGCCCATGCTCTTGGAAGGGAGGTGGTCCTCTTGGACGCGAAGGGTGGTGGTGCTGCTGGGAGTGCATTTGCTGCTGATGAGACTGATGAGGAGGAGGCATTCGGGAGGACGGCTGCTAATTGGAAGGAGATGGGGAAACGGAGAGGAGGGAAAAACCAAAACAACCTGTCAAAACACATTTCTTTCTGGGAAGAATCTGATATCATTGCTCGCAGCCATGCGATGACATGCCAACAAGTCAATTCGACAGCAAAACGGAAGATTGTATCCTAAAGTGATTTAATGCATCTCCCCTGAAGATTAAAAGTCCATGAGTTTCTTTTAGAAATTATACAGTTACATAAACTTGATGGCAACCTTGGTGGGATCACAAACAAAGTCAAGTAATTAAAACGTGACTACAACACTGTATTAAAGAGTACAAGCATTCATTAACAGCGGTCAGTACATTCTTTGTGGTATATAATCCATCTGCATCTAAATTGTGATTTACTATGTTGAAGTTTAGTTTTTGTTTTAAAGCCTATTATCATTATCAACGTGACCCAAAATAATGAAATGAAGAAATGTCACGGAACCTTGAGAGGAATCGCTTTAATTCAATTGTTTCAATGGTATTTTATCATTTATGTAAAACACTGTTTTTGTGCATTTTTACATGATGCAGATTTATTAATATGTGGTTTAATTAAGTGATCAAATCAAGATACTGTAAAAAAATAGAGATGTAGTATCTTTATATGATGACGACAAGTCGCAGGCCTTTTCTGAAATATCCTCCACTCTGTTCCTGAGGATCATCGTCTTTGTTATTTAAGTTACATGTTTGAAGTGACTTAGATTTCACAGGTCTTGTATGAACTGATGAGCCATGTAACTCCAAGGATTAAATGGATGGATTGACATCAAATAATAAAAGTCTACAAGGAACTAAATCCTGGGCAATGAACAAATTTAATTTGTATCCTACTGCCTGAGCAGACTACCGCCACATACTTTGCTCTAATCCAAATATCAACATTGATACAGGGAAGCTGAGTGTTTTGACTTTTTTCATGCGCCAACGACCACTGCTTTAGAGGTCTCAGACAGTTTGAAGATCAGCAGTGAACAAAACATGTTTCAATTTCAAGTACAAAGCAAACAAGCTTTGTATCTGTGGTGCATAGAAGAAGGGGAAAAAGTAAGTAATTTTAAATCATCTTAACCAGTAAAACCAACACAGTCCATTTAGCTTTATACATTATCCACTTAATGTTTTTCAGTAGTTTACCTGCATGCCAATGTTTCCTATTAGCGGTCTCTGGTCATTCATTCTTCCTCTGTGTCCTCCTCTAAAATCTCCCATTCCGAAGCCTGGGAATCCTCCTCTTCCTCTATTTCCTCGAGCTCCTCCTCCTCCTCCTCCTCTACCTCGACCTCCGTAGCGGTTTTGTCTCTTCTGTCTTTCCTGTTCCTCAAACTCCCTCAGATCCTGCTTGGCTTTCTCCGACAGTTCTGATGAAAAGTTGAACAGAAAAATTGAGCATTTGTAGATTAACTGTCTGGTAAAGCTTGAATTTAGGACAATGTATATTGAAGTAAACTCATTACAGATTAGTTAAGGTCAGAAAATATTTGGGTATTCAGTATAGTTGTCAATGAATCGAGCACAAATTATGCCCAGCAGGAAACATTGCTACCTAGTGTTTCTGGGATATTTCTCCTGTTACTGCCGGCATCAGCCAACCGCACAACAGCGCCGTCCTTTCTCTCTGATTTGAACCGTATGCGACCGGACTCTTCATCTTCCTCATCCTCCTCATCTGATTCCTCCTTTGTTGCCTCTTCGGGTATAGCTTCATTTTCAACCTAAGGAAAAATTTTCAGAGGTTGAAAACAAATGTCAACCATTGCAACACAATTCTAATCATAACCACATATATTACATCATATCTTTGGGTCTTCCACATTGAGACAGACAGAACAAGACATTTAAAGCCGAAATCTAAAGTTGAATTTTTCGGAAATTGTGAATTTTGTTTAGTTATACAGACAAAGTGATTGAGAAACAGCAGTCAACTGAATAATTACTTCTTTTTTTTTTATATATATATTTAATCTCAGTTAGTCTAAAACATATCTTAAAATGGATTCAAAACATGAAACTACACTACTTTGAATACTGCGCAATTATGAGTAAAAAAAAAGAATTGGTGGTTAACTGTCTGCACCACCTTCACCAGGATTTTATTTTTTTAAATGTCATTGATCTACAGAAAGTGTTAGTTTTGTTTGCAGGGTCTTCTCATACCTCCTCTGTATCAAAGACCTGCGAGCCCTCTGCAGCATCTTCCTCCTCCTCTTCCTGCTGCTCTTCTCCCCCCATCTCCTCGGGGGCCACCTCCTGTTGGACTCCGTGTTCATCCAGAGGCTCGTCATCATAGGAGGTTTGATATTCATTACCCTTCAAAAGATCACATGGATAATAAGTATTGATTTTTTTTAAAGTAATAACAATGCTATGATAAGGATCAGCAAAGGCTGACTGCATTTCAGCCATTGCTGGAAAATAATATTTTATTGTGTTTCTGTTTAAATTAAAAACATCAATTTCTGCCAAGCAATGCTTTTACGATGTGGGGCAAATATATACAAGCATACAAAATGCATTACGAGTTAAATTAAAATAGAACACATGAAATACAGAGGTATGTTTTTAACCTTTTTTGCTGACTAAAATAAAAAGGGGAACTTAAATAAGATATGCATATATATTAATGAAGAGAAAATGGAAATATAACGACAAAAATCATACAGGGCACAAAAGCAAACATTAAAATGTTATGGAGAGAATTTTGGGGAGGCATCCTCTAACCCCCCCTTCCCAACCCAAATTACCATAACAGTGGGGGCAAGCCTTCATTACTATTCCTGACACCATTTGAAATTCAATGAGATGTAAATGTTTGACATGATATACAGAAATGCAGGCACAGATAAAAACACTCCTCCCCGCTTCAGTGATGGTGAAAATATCATTGACTGACTCCTCGCAAATCACTCCGTTATTGGCTGCACTGTAAGTTCATGACTCGGTGCCCAAAACATGGCACAGATGCAAACATTCCAGGAAATGACAAACCGTTTTTTCCCCTGACTCCATAACAAGATTTCAGTATAAGACATGATACAATCACTTCATATAAAACCACATACACATCCGAAATCCAGTAAACAAAGGGGCTGCATGACTCGTATAGCAGTTGCTAGTTATTCAAACATCATATCTGCTTAACATCCACTAACAAAAATCCATTGCTAAATAAGGTCAGACCGTAGGTCACACAATGGTGTTTGGTGTTGCGCTCCATTAACCTGAAAAACAGCAGCACACATTAATGCAGAAAAGAAAAAAAAAACACTCCGTAAACCTGATAGATGGACAGGCTGCCCCAAGGGAACACAACGGCTTAATCCTCCTGTTCCACATAGTACTCATTGAATACCACGGTGAGCAAAATGTCATGGCCAGGCAGTTTAGTGACCTTGTAAACTGTTATTACACATAGCATAAATACACATCCACAACTGCAGACGTTTCCCGAAACTGAAAATAGACATCCATTCGTTCTGTGCACCCTTAGTAAGAAGGTCAACATCTTATCTTTGTTTGGAGAGAGGAGGCAGGCTAATATATCTCTGTCAGGTGCCAAACACCATCACACCTCAGTAAATGGACCATAACGGACATTTGCACATGGATCTCGTCTTATCTTTGATCCTCTTAGTCTGGGCTAAGAGGGAAGGGAAACCAATGAAAGGGAAACTCGCATCAATCATTAGAAAACTGGATGGGGTGTCCCCAGGAAGGTCAATAATCTTTTCACCTGCACTGACTTTATCAGATCCAGTCTAAAGCCTGAGATAAAAGCCCCCCACATTAACCTCCGCCGATTGGCAGCACATCTCCTCGACACAAAGCAGCTTCTTACTCCCCTAAAGATACACAGCCCAAGGTCACAATGGCACAGGTATTTGGAGACGACAGCAGAGAATTACTTCACAGCAAACAAGCCGTCAACACAAACTTCGTCAGCAAGATGGAGAAATTAACTGGCAGGAAGTGATAGTGAATCTCATCCTCCCCTGGCCAAAAAAAACGCCAACCAACATCTCCTTCCCCTGAATAGATTTTCAGTCCTGACTATCCGTTTACTGACACAAGAAAGCTGACATTATCTCTTGGATTGAGTAGAGCTGGACAGAGAAAGAAGTGGGAGGACATGTGTGTTTGCATCCGCTGGCTTTTACATGTGAGATGGTAAATGTGAAAACTCACTTGAAATTCCCCATCTAAGGGTTCATTGATTTGGATGTCTAACACTTCATCCTGGTAGCCATCTTCACCCTCTGCGAGCTCTCCAGTGTAATCCATCTGGTCTTCAGGCATCCCAGCGTTGTTGTCCTGGCTGTATTCCTCTGTGTACTCCTCTTCCTGGTACCCCCCCTGCCCTACATCCCCTTCTTCGCAGCCCTCTGCACCCAGGTTCACGATGTCATCTGTGTAGTCTGCTTCCTGCAAGTTGTCCTGCTGGTCATAGGATGTGTCCATGTTGTATGTGGCATTGACGCTCAGGTCCTGACCACTAAACAAAACAAGCACAACATTACACATCCGGAAAACAACAAATGACATATGATGGAAACATATGTAAAATGTGGAGCTTCACTCTCTTTACTTTACAACAGAAACTACAAACAACACTGATGTAATCAGCTTACCCCATATCATCATCATCACTTTGTAGAAGGTCGTCATTTAACTCTTCATCTGAGACTTCTGATGGATTCTGAAACAAAAAATAAAGAAATATTTTCTTCTGCTCCTTAAATGTTTTATTCCTCTCTTCCTCGGCCTGTGTTTGTGCGTGTGGTGTGGGGGAAGGGCACCACCTCCAACCCCAAAGGATGCTTTATTCCCATGTGGTGCAGGCAATCTGGGCAGGTCAACACAGTTCTTTTTTGTCCACTGTACTTCCTCCTGGTTCACATCAACAGTTCCTCCTGTGGAGGAGCCACCTGCTACAAGTCCACTGCTCACGTCTATTTTCTAAAATGTTCTACCAACAATAACACCCAATGTTGTAGATGTTATTTTCCACTTCCTGCCCATGCTGACAAGGAAAGTGCTTCATGTGGCTAGCATAAAAATCTACCTAAATAAAAGATATTTTGTTTAATCTTACCTTTTTACCTGAGAGCCAATCATCCTCCAACAATTCCTCTTCCAAATCACTTTGAAGAGAAAAAAAGAACAATAACAGGTTAGCCGAGTGTTGTGTCTTCATCGAAATTATACAGTATACACCTATGCCATACTTTTACAATCCTTATTCTTATATCAGTAAAAATGTTTTGGGTTAGCTGGTAGTTTGATATTTTGAATATTTTTCAGCCAGAAATATTGTAATGACAGCATTTCAGTTTTGAATACCATCTGCTGATTTTCAAAAGTATGACTTACTATACACTAAGATGATTACTTCCGATAATTGCTGTTATTTTAAGTAGAAGATGTGACTAGATAAAATATGTCACAAAGTCAGGGAAAGATGTGAAAGAGTTAGGAAGGAAAAGAAAGAAAAACCGCAGTGCAGAGAAAATACAACTCCACTTAGACTCTACATTTTTATAAACCTTAAAACTTAATTTGTAACAGAAAATATGCACAAAATGTACGGTACTATAGCAATGTCTTAAAATTGACAAATAAAGTAGGTTGTGAGTAACAAACAATACAGTACTAATAAAGCTCAGTAATACTTGCTGTAAACATGAGAACATAGAGAATGATTTACCTCTCGAGATCATCATTTTCGCCTCTCCTCCTACGTGACCGCTCAGCACCTGGTTTGTCATATTCGCCAAAGTCATAATCTGCAATAGAAAGCAAGTTTTACTTACAGATTCAGTCCAGCACAATGGTTTATGCAAAAGATGCGTCATCATCGCAAGGTGACGTCACGTAATTGTACGGCAAATGCAAAAACGCCATTTTCACCAACATGAGACCAGAAAACTTTCATGACTGAATCCAAATGGAAAATATATTTGACTAGAAAGAGAAAGAAAAAATAAATTAAAGATTGGACAGAAATAAAGTTGCTAAAGCCTTAGCGCACATCATGTTGCCCATCCAGTATTTGTGTTTGTAGTTACACCTGATTCCCAACAAGTATATATTTTCACAGTCATCTGCCAAACTAGCTGCTGCTTATATCATCATACTCATTTTTACAGGTTTCCCCACTGTGACTTTTGGCATACCAGAGTATAGATCTAGAGAAAGAATAATAGATCAAGCAAACTTGATTCTTTCTAAGTCACATATCTTGAAAAAAAAAACGTGGAACCAACGCATATACACTCTAGGAATCCCCTGAAAACTACATTATGTTACACAAAATATCATCGTAAGTTCAATTAGAAACTGAAAATATCTCAATCCAGGATGGGCGCAGTCACTTCCACTGATTGTGTGAGTTAAATGGCTATGGTTAGTGTCACCCTGAAGAAACACCAGTAACCACCACTGGTTGACTTATCTTGTTATTGTTATCATCCTGAGGCCACTTGGTTTTTGACACAGACATTTACACAGTAGGAAAAACACAGGTATTATCAATATAATCCAGAATGGCTTTATTTTATATTCTGCAAAACAACTTCTGCAAACAAGGGCTTCAACCCACAAACCTCTGTAATTATATAAATTGACCTGCAAACTTGGCACATCCTTTTAAAATACACTGATAATCAAAGTATTTGTAAAGACTACAAGAACAAGCAGCACAGTTTGTACAATGGTGAAAAGAAGCCACTGTATGTTTTAACTAGGATTAATCACAGCATGTCAAACTGCGTTCTTCTCCTGTATGTTTGCTGTAGAGTTTTCAGAAGTTGCACAAGTGTGGGTAGGCAACTCGACTTGCTTGTGCTTCCTGAAGATGTTGACAGTTTTTACCATGAAACCTCAGATTGTTCAGATCAGATCTGAAGAAGCATCTTGGGTGAGAAGAGAAAACATCTTCAAGAAACAGAAACAAGTCGAGTTGCCTAAATAGACATGTACAACATCTGAAGATGCCATGACCTGGATGACTGATGATCTCCACAGAAATGGCAACTCCATCATAGATGAGAGCTTGGCTTGTGTGAATGTGCACCCAAACATTTTGTGGGAAATGTGAACCTGCAAAGAAACTGAGCCATGACACTGAGGCTACAAGCAAAACACCAGGACACTGAGAGCACAGCAGCCAGAGAACTGGGTGTTCTTTCACAACAACGTACGAATCAAGGTTAGCTAGCTTGCTCTGTAGCCACAATTCAAAACATTGGCACCCACTCAGTCATTCAAGTATGGACCTTGACACTTCATAATGTTAGCTGAGTAGCTAGCTCATATGCTAACAAACGCAGCTGCCAACAATCACAAGCGATAAAACATGGATGAAAATCATAATCCTACTGTCAGTGTTAGCCAGTGGAGTGGCCCTGAATGAATTTACTCCGATTGGGTTTATTTTGAGGCAGAAAAAAACCCGTGTCAATACAAGTAATGTGTTAATGACAAATGATAACAAGATAAAGTCAACCAGTGGTGGTTAGAGGTGTTTCTTCAGGGGGGACGCTAACCATAGCCGAGGTCTGACTTGAGGCCTACAGTTAGCCATGTTGGCTAACTTAGCCAGCCGCATAGTTACCCTGAAACCATGAATTCACAGCTTATTTAGACAAAAATAATAATTCGCTAAACACAACCAAGCTTTGACCGGTTGCCTGGATTCACGAAAAGATGTGTTTTTTCGTATGCGGTTTCCAGCAGCGAGTCGCGTTAGCTACATCGGCTAGGCTAACGTAGCATTATCGAAAAAAAGGTTCTCACCCTGAGCGTTGGCCGACATCGTGCACCCTTCGTCCCGCTCACAGTCTTGACTACAAGCGCGTGGGTCGCATTTAATCTTTCGTGCTTTTTACTCGGGCGAAAACACAGGTTTGTGATCCGAGGCGCCGAGCAGCGTCTATGCGACAGTGGTTCTCTTCCACGACCGGAGCACAAACATGGCAGCGCTGAGGTTGATGTGATGATGCATTGTGGGAGGGAAACAACACCACCACCCTCCTCCTCCTCCTCCCCCTCCCTTCCCTCCACCCCGGGTTTTGCAGCACAGGGTTGTAAACACACATATCTATCATTGAGGTGTCTGAACTGCACAACTTTGGTGCATTAGGCCTATATGAGGAAAATGCATTTGTTGGATGAGTCGAATTCAAATTTTGCTCCCATAAACGTGCGTCATCACCAGACTTATTGTGTCTAGAATTTTTATTTTTCTTCATTTTGTTTTTCTTTGCTTTTCTTAGTCACAAGCAACAATCTGCTTTGTTTATTCTAAGTCTTTCCCCTTTTCCCAACAACTTTATCTTGTCACCCAGTGATTTAATTAACCCAGTTTTTTCTTCAAGGTGAATTCATTGTGACTCCTCAGTCACAAGTGAACTTCTGAAGTTCTCACTTGATCTCAGACCTATAATTGTTGCATCTGAGACTATTATTTCAGATTCTCACCATAGACGGTTCTTGTATCGCAGCAGTGAGTGAGTCCTCAATTCTTCAAACTGTTTATGGTAGGTTGAGGCTGGACCAGGATGATCAGTCTCCGGCTCAGAAAAACTCACACTTAGTTTTAGTTAAGTTCTCAAAATTTCCTTTGACAGTTTTATTACATTTATTATGCCTTTGCAAAGACAGAACACAGAGCACAGAATGTTGCAAAGTGTGATGCAGACCGAGCCGCAGTGCTGATATTAATTAAAACACAGTCTGGATCTGAGATAAGTATAAAAGCCAAGGCTGTGAATTATCAGTTGGTGAAATGGCTGAAATGAACTGCATGTTGCACATTCAAGGGTATTTAGTATGAGAATAGTAAAAATGCCATATGCCTTCCACCAAGTTTCATGGTAATACATCCTGTAGTTTCTGTGTAATACTGATAAAAAACAAACGCCAGTGAAAACATAACCTTGGGCAGTGGTAATAAAAAATGTCCAGATCAAATCCTTTCTCATTCTTCAAAGATAGATTCTACTAAAATGATCCGATTTAGAGGTATGTACTCACACACATGATAGAACAGGCATTTTTATTAGCTAGTCCTGCTTTATTTATCTCTCCATCTCTCTACTCGTACAGCAAAGGTGCCGATAAATTTGTGCCCTTTTTAAGTCTTGGTCACTTTGGCTGAAATTCAAAATGCTCCTTAATCTTTATTCAACTCACTCCTTTGATTTTTCTTGCCTGTAAGGTCAAAGCCTTTTTTTTTTTTTTTATCTCTGACCCATTTTTTTCCCCTTCCCCTTTTCGTGGTCAGGTCTGGGAGTCAAAGTTGTTGTCTGACTATGCAGCTTGACTACAGCACAAAATTCTAACCCACCAAATTCCTCCTGGGCTGACAAACGTCAACAAAGACCCCGAGAGACACCAAAGAGAGGTGAGCAGTGAACTGGAGCCTCATTGTATTGGCTCATTATGGTGTCCCGCAGTGAGGAAGAAGCTATTTTGTAGCACCACAAGGTCAATATCTGAAAGCCAGGGCGATGGAGGGGATCAGCCGTGAGATTTTTAATTTGAGAAAGCGTAAAGGGACTTTCTTGGTGAAAGACAGTCTGTGAATTATAATAAGAGTGGGAGGATTGTACAGACAAGATGTTGAGTTGGCAAATGTTCCCCTTTTCTCTTTTAAAAATAATACAATTTATCCTCAGTATTGTACACTTCCTTGTATGACATGCACAGTCGCTGCTGTGTTTAAGGTGTACAAAAGTTTCTTAAAACAAAAAAAAAGAAAGAGCCCAGGGCTGCTTCTTCTTTACAAACTTAACAAATTGAAATCCCAATATTTTAGCCTCCCACACTCAAACTTTTAAGATTGTTTGACTCACACGAGCTCATGTCTCAGTTGAAATGAATGAGTTCAACTTAATATTGATAATAATGCATTCTACACCAAATATTCACACCAAACAGCTGTTTCCAAAGCTGTATGAGATATTTATGTGCTCCCTGGACTCACTTTCCCAGGAATTTTGATTTTACTTCCAAATAGATGTGAAAAGGGGAGCTGTCACACTCTATTATGGTGACCTCAATGATTCTGTGCCCTACCCAAATCCAGCGGTTTTCCATAACAATGCAAATTAAAGGGTGCAAAGCTGGAGAGAGACAAGACTTGTTAGTTTCCATCCAAAGGACAGAGGTTCTTTACAACAAACTTGTCTGTACGCCTTGTGTAGATTTTGACAGAGTGCCAACTTGGAAGTTGTTTTGTGCGAGACAATACATTTTTGCTGTTGATTCAAAAGGCTCCGCAACTGTCTTGAGAAAGTGATACTGAAGCTGTTGTGGAGTAGGAGTTTACATGCCTGCAACAAATTATAATAATACAATTAAAGAAATTTAATTTTTTTTAAATATTATGAACTGTGGTTAGCTGCAGACAAACTCTGTCTGAGACCTTCTGAGACAAATTTCAAGTCCAAATTGGAGCAGTTTTCTCACTGAGAGAATGTCAAAGGAATGTATTAGCATGTGGCCATATCCAAGACCCATTAGCTTAATACACTCCAACAGGAAGATTTGCTTTTGGCAGATTTGTTAGTGTCTGCTTCAACCCCACATGGGAGACTACGGTTTGAATCCTGTATCTTTCACTGGACCCTGGTCAGGGATTTGGGCTTAAAGTTTTTTGCATCTTTCACGCAGAAGACCCAGTAACTCTAGTTTAACTGTCTGATATAATATAACATACATTCCAAATTTATTTTGAATTTTTTACTATTCACACGGATAAATGTAGCAGCAGGGATCAGTGTAATTTGTAGGAACATTGCAGGAATCTAAGTGAAAGGCATGTGCAAAAATATTTAATGGACTGACACAATGGCTGCAGTGAATACAGTATCTCTGAACATAAGATAAGATAAGATTTATTAGTCCCACAATGGGGGATTTTTCTTTTACAGTAAAGTAATAATAAGTAAACATGTAAGAAAATTTGTATTTGGTGCTCTTCAATTATTAACAAATGTCATCAGTTACAGGGTCACATGAAAATATGTATTATCACTTGATAACCTACAGTCATATTTATAGACTTTTATGTTTATAATATGTATACTGTAAAAAAATCATATTCATACTACATACCCTGACTTGCACTATTTTTATCTTTGCACATGGTCCTCTGCACATTGTCCATATAATGTATACCAATTATATCATATTATATTACTCGTTGTATATGCCTCTTATTGTGTATTTCACCCAATCATATGTATACCTGCATACCTTTTTATATTTTCACTATATTACATACTATTGTGAGTTTATACCTATATATTATGCATCTTTTTATCAATGCACTATATAAAATATAGTGTGATTTAGTATACTATGGTGAATTTATACTGATGTATATACATACATAGACTAATTTCACACTCTTTAGACTTTATACCATACCTGCCTATTTATGTATAAACAATCTATAAATATAGATTTATTTCAACATCCCCTCATAAAAATGCACAAATACAGTTTACATCCTCAAGCAATCACCCTGTGCTACTGCACTTTACTCAAATACATTTCTATACAAAACAATAAATCTGTAGTGAACGGTGTATATTATGAGCATATTCTGAAATGTTATTTTTTATTCTGCTGCCTTTTTTCATTCTGTATCTCATCTTATCTTATATACTATCTTATTTTATCTAAACTTGTCTTATTTTATCTCATCTTCTCTTATCTGATCTGATCTTGTCTTATCTCATCTTATCTTATATCCTATCTTATCTTATCTTATCTCAAGTTAAACTTAATTGCTTCTTGTATGTTAATGTTATAATTGATGCACATGTCTGATGCAATTATAAATGATTTGTCAGTAATAACATCCACGCATCAGCATCATGAAGGTGCTGCAGTCACTGACCCACATCTCAGAGCAGTGAACTGTTTAACTCAGACTCTTGTTTTTCTTCTTCTGTCAACACTGAGGAGGAGGAGGAGGAGGAGGAGGAGGAGGAGGGGGCGGGCTCTTCGCGCTCAACGGGGCCGCTGCGATTGGCCCGCGGCGCTCCTATCCTCGCCGCCATTGGCCGCGCGCCCCGTCGCTCACCCGCCTCCACTACCGCCCGCTTCCCGCGCCATTCCCCGTGAGCGCGCCGAGCCAACGCAGGCGCGCCCCCGCTCTGAGACTGTCTGGAGTCTGTCTGAAATTGATCAAATTGAAGATGGAGACTTTTTTTTAACGCGTCTCTCCGCTCGACCTGGGGGGAGGGGGGGGGAGAAACATGACCACCGGAGCCGGAAACCCTCGCTCTCTTACCCGGGACGACTTCGCGCAGGAGTCGCCGCCGCGTTGAGCCCTGAAAACAAAAAGAGCAAACATCTGAGAGATGAACGCTGTGAAAGTTTTTTCTCCCGCAGTGTGACAGCAGACAGGTCTCCATGCTCAGGTGGGTGAGACAGACGCCTCGCTGGGAGTTGTCGCACTCGTGACGTTGTATTTAAGCTAAATAACAAATGTTTGTGAATGTTAGCTGCGCTGGTTTAGCTTTGGTTTCCTCGCTTATAAATTGAATTAGCCTGCTGCGCCGCAACTGAGATGCAACAACCCTGCTACAGTTTAATCGGAAAACAACGCGGATGATATTTGTTATTTTAAAATATGTCGTAAATTCAAAAGTAGCCCGGTTTGTTTTTCACTGCTTGACCCATTCACGCTGGTTCAGCCTCATGCGTAGGTGACGCACCTGTGCTGACGTGATGCTCTTGAACGCACCTGTTCCTCAACACACACACACACCTGAGGGGGAAGTTTCCTCTCCCGCATGTTTGCGTGTTGAATCTGTGATTTCCTCTTTTTAACGTCCCCTCATTCACTCGTTGCTTATTTTAAAGCACAGGCACAATGTGTGTGTGTTTTAAAAGCACACGTGTTAAGTTAACTACGCAAGAGACGCACGCTGCTTCCTGCAGGTGAGGTCAAATCAAACCCTGTAATGAAATGTTTGCTCTTTCCCTCTTCTTGTTTTGCTCTGCAGGGGATCAGCC